ACAAGGGGGGAGCTGCGAGACGGTAGCTCCCTCCTTGTAATAAACAAAACGTTCATTCATTTGAAATTTCTATTCATTTATTCATCTTTCTGACGAATGAATGAATAGATGAAATTCCCGTTCTGGGCATGGGCAGGAATTTCACAGCACTATCTAGTTAGGGCAGATGACTTGTCCCACGGGGACTTCATCTACCCACACAGAGTTGGCGGCGCTAGGACCTAGGTCTGGGCACAAAATAAAGATGAAAAAATGGGGGGTTAGGGGCATTTCGGGTTGACTAGGGGGAAAATTAGATCTAGTGGAGTCGGGAGTGGGGTTTAAAAAAAAAAAATGGGATTCGGCCATGACAGTGCTGCTTTAAAGGAAAACTATAGTGCCAGGAAAACCAACTCGTTTTCCTGGCACAGTAGCTTCCCCTTCTGTCAAGGCCCCCTCCCGCGGTGCTGAAGGGGTTAATAACCCCTTCAGTCACTTACCTGGGTTCAGCGCCGATGTCCCTTGGCTCAGCTCAGCACCGCCCACGCTCCTGCCGGCAGGGCAGGCCTAGTGCGCATGTGCAGCAATGGCCGCGCTCGCATTAGGGGTTAGTGACGCTGGAGGTCCTAATGTGTAGCGTGAGGACGTCCAGCGTTGTTTAGACGACCAAAAGTAGTCTAAGAACCCTGAAGTCCCTCTAGTGGCTATCTGGTAAACAGCCACTAGTGGAGGACTTAACCCTGCAAGGTAATTATTGCAGTAAATAAAAACTGTAATAATTACATGCTCAGGGTTAAGGGTGATGGGAGCTGGCACCCAGACCACTTCAATGGACTGAAGTGGTCTGGGTGCCTACAGTGTCCCTTTAATCATGAATATTGTCTACAGGCATCTACAGTGGCATTAAACAATAAAGTGTGGATGTGGGCAACTTAAAACACTGGAAAGATTGTAGAATTTGCCGGTCAGCCACCCTTCTGCACTGGGTAGGGAGTATTTGAAATGCTGCAACATGCACCTAATATACTTTCTTGACCAGCTATTATCTTTATAACACAAATAAATGCCTCTCTATTTCTCATAAATATAAATTCACAGGTATATCTGAAAGGTTCCAAAATACTATCACAGCAAAGTTGATAACAAACTGGTCCAATTACTTTTTTTAAATGCATTTATTTTACTTTACTGTGATTAAATTTATGTCAAAGGTCATGCAGGAGAAGGTTTGCAATGGTAACTAATAACTCTTAGTGCTGGCTTGTAGCACCTTTATTTATATAGCTGTGTTTCTTATTTCATATAACAAAAATGTCCTTTTCTCAGTTTGTGCAATGGTGTGCAGAGCATAGAGGAAACAGTGGTGAGAACACGCGAAGGACCATCTGGATTTGATGATATAAGTTGAAACGCAGAATATGGAAAATTAGCAAGTTTATGCGTATGGGAAAAAGTTATGTATAGGTGCAGAAATGTATTATGGAAATGTGTGATATAACTCATGTATGTACGTAGCGGGGAATTACGATGCCACATAAACATAGATAACCCCAACAACCCCCCCCCCCAATAACGACAGACAACTTAGTATGGATGAACAGGCCACAGCATTTATTATAACATAAATAAATTACTGCATAACACATCCATAACTTTATTTATTAAACTCTTCTTTCTGTTAGAAATAAATAATCATAAATTAACATATATACATATAATAACTAAAACATAGTGCTATGCAGAGACCCAACCGTCCTTGCCAATAAACATCCAGTGGTTCCTAATCACCACTTCTTCTCACCTCCCCCCTCGTCATAAAAAATCCTTCCAATGCCCGCCATCAGCCGACCTTATCCACGCTCGATGGGCACGATACCTCAGGCAACCTAATGTTTAACCTTTTGAAGCAGGGGAGGTTGAGACCTGCAAAACATAAAAACTTACTCCATCCTTAAACATAACCCCTCAAACTTAATTGGCAAGGACATACCCCCGCCACCAGACCCTCTGCTTTTTGAGCCCCACCAAAACCTCCCATGGCCTGTTCCACCGCTTCTTGAAGGGCGAGATTGAAAAGGTCGAGCCCGACCTCCGTTAGGTGTACCCCATCCCCCCGAAAAAATTGAGCCGCCTCCCGCTCAAAAACCCTGTGGCGGACCGGGATCCCCCTAACCCCCAAATCAAACTGGGAAACCCGCCTGTTTAACTTGCGTCTGCAATGCTCCATCGCACTTTGGCTCCTGGCGCCACGCCAATAGTTACGGGCAATGACTTCAGACCACACTAAGCGCACACTGGGGAACAAATTCAAAATGCGGGCTAGGTCCCGCTTCACCGCCGAAATCAAATCCCAAATGGGCACCAAGCCCAGATCATTCCCCCCCAGGTGGATCACCAGGACACTCGGCGCCCGCAGGAGATGGGACAGCCGCACCAGCTTGGGTAGGAGCCGGGACCACCTCTTACCCCTTGCCCCGAGCCATCGAACCTCGGAAGGCGTGAAACCCAACCTTTCGCCTCCAGGCCGAACCGCCGCCCGCTGCCCAGCCCTGTCGTTTGTTTTGGGGGTTAGGGGGATCCCGGTCCGCCACAGGGTTTTTGAGCGGGAGGCGGCTCAATTTTTTCGGGGGGATGGGGTACACCTAACGGAGGTCGGGCTTGACCTTTTCAATCTCGCCCTTCAAGAAGCGGTGGAAGAGGCCATGGGAGGTTTTGGTGGGGCTCAAAAAGCAGAGGGTCTGGTGGCGGGGGTATGTCCATGCCAATTAAGTTTGAGGGGTTATGTTTAAGGATGGAGTAAGTTTTTATCGCATCGCGTTTACGAGGACCGGAGTCATCGCCCTTAGCCCCCATGTCCCCTTTCGTTTTGCCCCGCTTGAAACAGCGAGAGGCAGGATGGGCCCCGCCGCAGCCAGAGCACTCGTGCTTAAACCGGCATGAAGACCCCCACTTACAGAGACTGTCGTTAAACTTCCAACAACAGCCAGACCTTGGACCTGAGGCTGATGAGGAGGAAGGCGCGCCCCCACCGGCCCCCCCAAGAAAGGACGAAAACGCGCCTTGTTGAGGGGCTGGACGAGTCATGATTGAAAGCCAGAGGCCGATATCCATCTGATCCCATGACAGCAAGGGACGTACTGCCAGCCGCTGTCGAAACTGCTCGTCGTATCTACACCAACCCAGCCCCAGTGGTAGGAGAGAAAATATCTCCACAAATTCCCCTTTCCGAATTTTTTCCTTCGTTTCCTGCTTCAAGTGCAAGCCCAGAGGGCCAGACCAGCACCCCGCGCTACATCCGAGACCCCCCCTTCGAGACCAGCAGCAACCGAGGCGGCACCAACGCTGGCCACCACAGGTGCCGGGGAACCCAGAGGCACCGAACTGCCACCCATCCTGAGCAGAGGCCCAGGAGGGGGAGAAGCCTGAACATTTGGAGGGAGCAGGGCCTGGGACTAAGCCGACCGGAGTTGACCATCAACCGAAGCGACCCCACTAACCGTCATCCCCCGCTCCCACTGATCCAAAAAAAACCTAAGACCCGAGAGGAACCCTCCCAACCCGGGACTCGCAGCGCCAGAAGCGGAGGGAACAAAGTACTTACCGGTCGCAGACTGGCGATCCAAGCCCAGCACTGCGCTCACAGAAGGCAAAGAATCAGCAGTTCCAGCATCCACAGAAGACATCAGCTGTGTTTCAGGCGCCACCTGCTGGACGGATCCATGAACTGCAGCAGTATCCTGAGAAGAAAGCAGCAGAGCAGACGTGAGAACATGCCCCAGAGGAGATGGCCGAGGTAAGTGACCTGCAGGGGGGGGAGGGGGCCCAGACAAGGCAGAGGAGGGGGAGGACAATAGAGAGGAGGCAGCCAGAGAGGGGTAGAAACTAGATGGGGAAGAAGAAGAACAGGGGGAAGCAGGGAGAGCAGGGGCAGGCACACCAGAAGGGGGGAGGGGGACAGAGGACCCTGGAAAAGAGGAGGGGGGACCAGGGGGCCCAGCCCAGGGAAAGCTGGGCCCCCTGGAAGAGGAAATAGATTGAACAGGAGAAGGAGGGGGGACAGAGCCCTGGGAGCCTTCCTCACTGGCAGAGGAGGCACCCGATGAACAAGGGGACCCCCCCCAACCCCCAACGGTGGTACCACGGTACCCCGCGAGGGCCCACTCATCGCCCTACCCCCCCACCGGCCACAGGGGGACCTTGACGGCCGCCCGCCACCCGGTGGACTGTAGACGCTGCCCACCACCCCAGCCCACGATCCACCTCCGGCGGCCGGGGCGGATGGTGTGGATGGGGGAGGAGGAGTAGGCCACGCGGCAGTTGCAGGCCACATCCCCGGCCTGGAAGTACCCGGCCGGGTGGCCAAGGATTGAGCAGGCCGCGCGGCAGTGGCAGGCCTCGTGGCTGAAGGCCGTGCCACCTGCGCGACCGCAGGGAAAACTGGGCCCCCTGGAAGAGGAAATAGATTGAACAGGGGAAGGAGGGGGGACAGAGCCCTGGGAGCCTTCCTCACTGGCAGAGGAGGCTCCCGATGGACAAGGGGACCCCCCCTGACCCCCAACGGCGGTACCACGGTACCCCGCGAGGGCCCACTCACCGCCCTACCCCTCCGCCGGCCGCGGGGGGACCTGGACCACTGCCGGACAGCCGCCCACCGCCGGAGGACTGTAGACGCTGCCCACCACCCCAGCCCGCGATCCACCTCCGGCGGCCGGAGCGGATGGTGTGGATGGGAGACGAGGAGTAGGCCGCACGGCAGTTGCAGGCCGCATCCCCGGCCGGGTGGCCAAGGATGGAGCAGGCCTCGTGGCTGAAGGCCGTGCCACCCGCGCGGCCGCAGTAGGCCGTGTCTGGAGCCCCAGACACGCGGCTCTGGCGATGCCTCAGGCCCGGGCTCCTGCTCCCAAACCGGGCCCGAGGGGTATTGTCTGGTGACAGCCTGGCAGGCGGGCAAGAACACCTGCCAGTGCTGGTGTGGCCCCCAGGGGCAGGGGCCGCATGGGAGGCAGCAGGGGAGACCGCAGGGGGTACTCCAGGGGAGGGTAGGCCACGGGGGGTGCCCACACCGGCAGCCATACCTCCAGTAATGTGTTGAAATTGCTCCCTTAGTTGCCGGCCACCATCCAGCGCAGCAGCAGCCCTGAGGGATGCCAGGATCACCTCAACCTCCATCCCTCAAGCCGTGTCAATCTGCAGGCCCAGGCAAACAGGAGCAGGAGGACAGGAAGCTGTTTGCTGGCCTGTATCCCAAGTGGCACTGAGGTAAGACCTCCCCCACACTATCTCTCATTAAACCTAACCCCTCCCACACACACTTCCCAAGTCACTCCCCTGCATCTATCCCCACAGGCCTACATGTGCCCTTGTCCGCTTAGCTGTGCTATCTCCCCAGGGCCTATTCCATGAACAGCCTACAATTTATTCATCTACATTTTGTAAGCTTGAGTACATTATGGTAGTAATCTGCAGTTTGTGTTACAGCAATAAAAGTCACAATCATAGCCAGGGTGCTTTGTATGCAAAGGTGTGCACACAGGGAGTGCGACATGTGCCTAGGCACACCCTAATGCAGCTGAAGTGCCGATTGCTGAATAAGCCGGCAGGGAGATGAAAAGGTGTGCCCCCGCTGTCGTGGGGGAGAAAGGAGAACTTGATCTGTATGTCTAGGCCAAGTTCTCAACTCCTTTTATGGTATTAGACTGTGAGTGTGTGTTTTGTATCTGTGTGTGTTTGTATGTGTACATCTGTGAGTGTGTGCATCTTTTAATAAAACTTCCATGACTGATTGCAGTCTCTATATGTGCACACTTGTGTGGGTCTACTTATTTACATTATTAAAACCAGCATTTTAAAATTTAAAAAGTGGGCTACTGTGCCATAAAATACCTAGCTCTATTTAATCTCCCATGCCAGCCGTGACAACTACTCACACACAGCCACACGCATCACTCACAGCTACCCACACACAGAATTACACATTACTCACAGCTACCCACACAGCACACATTGTCACACACATTACTCACAGCTACCCACACAGTACACATTGCCACACACATCACTCACAGTGGCCTAAACGTATCGTTCACAGCTACTAACACAGCTACCCACACACAGCCACACACAGTTATTCTCCCAATACACAAACTTCCATACATAACACCAGAAAACTAACACCACACACACAGTTACAAAACTAACAGCCAGCATACACTTAGAGAAGGCACACAACTACTCAATATTTTAATAAATATTCATATTACATAATATTAAAAAAATAATGTAGGGGAAGAATTTTCTGGTGCACACACTAATGAAATAGACTGTGCATGCCTATGATTGTGTAATGATACAGGTATGATGAGTTTAAAAAAATTTAATATGCTTTTTATCTGTGCTTTTCAGAATGTATTACATGTCCCCAAATTCCAGCATATCACTTTTTATTTCTGGAAACTGCACTCTATTTGAGAAATCATTTTTTATTAGGTGTGTGAATTCCAGGGGTATTCTAAACACAGCATGTAGGGGTTCTGCTGCACAGAGCCTGTACCTGCAGGCTGGCAATTGTAAACACTGCCTTTTCTGAGAAAAGGCAGTTTTTATATTTGTCTGTAAGGTCACCTCTAATAGCTGTCACTCGAACAGCCACTAGAGCTTTTCCTGGTGTGGTCCTGCAATCTTTGCAGGACTGACATTTGGTATGCTCAATACACTCTGTATGAAGAAGTTGAAAACTGCCTATAGACAAAATGCTGATTGGCAGAGTGCGGTAATTTCCGTGCATACACCCTAGCCCCCCAATGCTTCACCATGTGATCTTAAGTAATGAGGATCTCAACCAGAGGAGGTGCAGTGACTGCAGCAAAGCTGGCATACTTGGTAGTAAAGGTAAGTAAAACTAATTTATTTTTCTATTTTTGGGGACCCATAAAATCAAAATAGATACTATATCGCTGACGTTAGGAGAATAATAACCAAAATAATAAATAAATAATAATGTTTTAATTCATAACTACACTTGTGCATGGCAAAAAAATTATTTGACTGAATCAAGTCATCTGAAAAATATTTTGGTTAGGACAAACAGAAATTCATCCATGTAATGATTTAGTTCCAACAACTTTTGTCCATGCCATGCTTTCGAGAAAATCTATTTAGACAAAACAAAATGGGCCTATAGTCAGGGGCGGTTTAGCCACGAGGCAAACAAGGCATTTGCCTTGGGCGGCATTTTCCAGGGGGCGGCAAAAAAAGCCGCCCCCCAAATGCCCAAGGCAAATGCCTTGTTAGCCTTGCGGCTAACAGACATGCCGAGCGGGCGGGCGGCTGGCGATGGAGCACTTCCTCTGAGCGGTCTGCTCAGCTCCCTCGCGCGCCGCAGAATGAGGCTGGGAGCCTGGTTGATGACGTCATATTCCGGCTCCCAGCCTCACTCTGAGGCGCGCGAGGGATCTGAGCAGACCGCTCAGAGGAAGTGCTCCCTCGCCAGCCACCCGACCAGCGCCCAGCAGCCACTGGACCCCCAGGGAGAAAGGGAACCCCCCCCAGCATTCCCAAAGGCTGGAGGGGGAGGAGGGTTAAAAAAAATAAATGTGTTAATGTGAGTGTGTGAGTGTGTCTGTTAATGTGACTGTGTGAGTGTGTTAGTGTGTGTGTGTCTGTTAGTGTGTGTGAGTGTGTCTGTTAGTGTGTGTGTGTCTGTTAGTGTGTCTGTTAGTGCGTGTGTGTGAGTGTGTCTGTTAGTGTGTGTGTGAGTGTGTGTGTGTGTGTGTGTGTGTGAGTGTGTCTGTTAGTGAGTGTATCTGTTCATGTGTGTGTGAGTGTGTCTGTCAGTGAGTGTGTCTGTCTGTTAGTGAATGTGTGTGTGTCTGACTGTTAGTGTGTGTGTGTGTGTCTGACTGTTAGTGTGAGTGTGTTTACCTGTGAGTGTGTGTGTCAGTGAGTGTTTGTGTCTGCTAGTGTGTGTCTGCTAGTGAGTGAGTGTGTTTGTGTGTGTGTGTGTCTGACTTTGTGTGTATGTTTGCCTGTGAGTGTGTGTGTGTCAGTGAGTGTGTGTGTGTGTGTCTGCTAGTGAGTGAGTGTCTGTGTGTGTCAGTGAGTTTGTGTTTCTGTTAGCTAGTGCATGCGTATCTGTCAGTGAGTGTGTGTGTGTGTGTGTGTGTATTTAGAAGGCGGGGCGGGGGGAAGGGATGGGTGGGGGGGTTGGGGAGCGCCTGAGTTTTGTCCTGCCTAGGGCAGCACAAAACCAGGATACACCACTGCCTATAATTTACAGGTTTACAGGGATGTCATCGTGATCACATGGCTGGAAGGGCCATATTTGCAGCAGGGGGACTGGCCGGGTTGTTAGGCAGTCCCTCGCTAACCAGATCGGTGTGGTAGTTGAGTATGAGGAGCCACAGGGACTGCAAACCATTACAACATTCTATGCAGTCATAACTGCTTTTAAGCCTATTTAAAATAGTACGACGTAGTACACTGTAATGGCATTAAGGAGCTAAACAATCAAACTGCTATAATGTCCCAAAACGAGACTGAGGCCTATCAAATCCATCTATAAAAATTTTAAGCATGGAAAGTGATAAAGAATACTCTTATATGGTAACTTCACAGAATAGTGGTAAAGGCATACAATGGATGTATCATTGTACTCAGCTGAACCTCAATATAGAGTTTCATACAGGAATACTTCACTACAGCTTTGCACATTAAAAAAAAAAACCTTCTTATATGTATGTATGTCACAAAATCTGGTTAACCTGGGGCAAATCACAGTGCAGCATAGTAAGATGTGCTCAAAGGATCAAAGTCAAGTAAACCAGTAATTTAATTTATACCACGTTTAAAGTGAATCTTATATCCGCACTTCATCTATACAGAAAATCTATACAGAAAATCTTATAGATCAAAACGATAAAGACGTGAAGAGCTCTATTTAATCCAATATTGGATGGCTAGATGCTTTTTAGCCTCCGAATGGAACAATGTGTAAAGCTATAAATTGAATAAGGTCGGATGCTGTGTAGTTTATTGAATAGCTTCATAAAGAAGCCATGTTTATTTGTTTTTACCCCGGTCCATGACACTGAGGTAAAGCCTATACAGCTATAAAAAAAAAAAAATCTATGTATCTGGTGGCTTCAGGTATCGATGGAAATTTATTTTCTGCAGAGTACCACCACATAATATTTTGCATGACAGGTGCACTTTGAACAACCGCAGTGTAACTAATACTTTACTTAAATTCATTTCTTTCATTTCTTTGTCTGCCAACAAAAACTAGAAGACATCTGGTCACTGGTGAATTCTTGATCTCTCTCCTAGCAGTTAAAACATCAAATAGCTGAGCTGGTTAGATACCAGACTTGATTCAGTGTGGATGGGGATAAAGAGAATGGGACTTTATTTTGGCACCAAAATGAAATGTGGGTGTATTTGTGAAGCTGGGCTAGAAATGCACGGAAAGATTTAAACATAGCACACCTAGAATATATATTTTATTTGGCCCTGCCCTGTCATGGAATTTATATGTGAAGGTATGAGAAAATATTTTCCAATTTAGTTGAATAAGCAGAGAGCAGAATGAAGGGGCCCGCTACCCCATGTTTCAATTCACTGAAGAGACGAGCTAGTAGATCCAGCTTTTATGACTTTAAAAGATTTAGAAAGAATTTAGCACCACTCCTTCTGCACAAATACATATTTTGGCTCCTCCTAGGTGCTTAGCAAAAGGTTGAGAGTGTAAAAAGTGTTTTCAATGGAAGAGAAAGTGTTTATAAAATATAAGAGGTCGCACAGCTGTGAAGCCTAGAAAACAATGCCCTGCTTATAGGCTCATCCACAGCAGAGGTCATACCTTGGGGAGGATAACAAGAGCAGATGTTTTAGACTTGAAAACATTTAACCGTGTGTCACCAAAAACTTTCTAGACTTCTTTAACAGTAAGGTAAGTCCAGAGGGGGGACGGAGCTAACAACGTTCAGGAACAGACGCCATTTCACCCAGCTCCTCGTTCATCGCCCAAGAAATCACCCATAATCGGCGTAACGCCATACATCCAGAGCCGTACACTAACACCTCCTAGCCCAATCCTCCATTCCCATTAGATTTAGCTACCTGTGTCAACCAGAGAATAACACAGTTACCTTACGTCGGGACAGCTCATCCTGTAAGGGCTGGTTTATAAACATATTGGGCACTACACATCATGTTCCCTACATGCCTACGTTTACAGCATA